AGGGAGGTGGGGGGGGGGGGGGGGGGAATGTTTAGATCTCTAGACTTTCTATTGGTCCATGTTTAAAAGTTTGGGGTCAGTAAGATTGTGTGTGTTTTGTTTTTTTGTGATCAACTTTTTTCTTTTTAATTTTTTAAATATAAACAAAAAAACATAATTAGAACAAACAATCAAGGAAGGAGGAATAACAGACACATTACCAATAATTTAACAGTCTTGACAAGAAATTTGATTGAAGATTGTTTCTTGAGCACTCAATCGGCATATTAGTATGATTTATGAAGGATCATGTGAAAATGTAGCTTTGCAATCACAGAAATAAATTACATTTTAAATATACATCCAAATAGAAAAGTTATTTGAAATTGTAATATTTTGCAATATTACTGCTTCTACTGTATTTTTTAAATAAATGCCACCCTGTTGAACATAAAAGACTAAGACTTCTTTAAAAACATTTAAAAAAAAAAATCATCAAACACAAACTTTTGAATGGTAGTGAGAACTTCAATAAAAAGGGCTGCTTAACAGTCATGCATTCACAAAATAAATAAATAAAATCAAAATAGTTGTATAGTGTTGTGGAAATCAATACTACAGCAATCTCACACACACACACACACACACACTGAATCCCCTGAAATAGGCATTTAGACACCACTGAAGAGGTGGAAAATAACTGTAGATCTTCTCAGAATTTCCTTCCATCCAAAAGAAATAATTGCAGCTCTATTTCATGGATATAGACGCTATTTTGTTTCCAGCACACTGATAAAAACCTGTGCATCCCTGATGCCTAGAAAAAGCATAACTTGAAGAGTCCAGGAGTTTTTCTTTTAGCTGTTAATGTTCTAAATGACCCTTAAACATTTTAACTTTAAAATGTTTTCTTCTGTAAGTAAATTTTGGATCAAAGCATCTAATAGATAGATAGACAGACAGACAGAGAGATGATCAAAAATACAGTAAAAACTGTAATATTGTGAAATATTAATACCAATACCAATCAGCATATTAGAATGATTTCTGAAGGAACATGTGACTCTGAAGTAATGGAGTAATGATGCTGAAAATTCAGCTTTGTATCACAGGAATAAATCATTATTTAAATATATTAAAACAGAAAATGGTTATTTTAAATAGTAATAATTTTTCCACCTTATTACTCTTTTTACTACATTTTTCATCAAATAAATGCAGCCCTGGTGAGCATAAGACACTTTAAAACACATTTTTGAAAATCTTACCCATCCAAAACTTTTCAATGGTGGTATGGTAACACTTTATTTATTCAGGACCAGTTCTCACTATTAACAAGCATGCATATTACTAGCATATTGGCTGTTTGTTAGTATAAATCACATATTAATGCCTTATTAACTATTTATAAGCAGAAAATTAGGCGTTTATTGAGGCAAAAGTCTTAGTTAATAGTTAGTTAATGGTAAGAATTGGACCTTAAAATTAAGTGTGACCGGTAGGGTAAATAAAGTAATATAATAAATATAATGAATACAAAGTGTTATATTTATAATGATAGGAAATTATGAAGGTGTAACAGGATATGAAAATGTCACTCATCGCTCCCATGAGCACAATGAGGGAAAGTCCTGCTGCATCTAAACTTTAATGTGGTGACAACACAGAGGGACATTGCCACTTATTATGCAAAGTTTCCATGAGAAATGCAAAATTAAAAGTAGAATCTTTCTTGTCTTGAGGAGACTGAATCCTTTCTCTGGTCACACAGAAGAGAGAAGGACAAACCTATGAATGTGTAATGGGAATGATTACACTTACCGCCCCATTACACATACAGGACCAAAAAAATAGGCTAAAACACTAACATTACAGTCATACGCCAGACAATACGCAAACTAATTACGCCTAATAAAATCTATGGGGCCGTATAGCAGAAAGGAAACAACTATTGTGTTTTCCTTGCACCAAGAGTCATAAAACAGGCACGTATACAATGACTCTTTTAACAGCAATGCGAAGGACATTTCATTATCATTACACTAATGCTTCATGGCTAAAATTCAGATGATGTGTAGACAATTGTATCTGCTCTGCATTTCACTGGCATATGAAATGTAATAAATATCTTGCGATGGATAAAGTGCTTCATCCATCCACATAAAACACATTTTAACCGACAGACGGATGAAGCCATCTTTTTCGGAAGTGCAAAAAGCTGGCAAAAAAAAGTCGCACGGCCCCAGGAGTCCAGCAGAAGATTTCAGGGAAATAACTTGTAACAATCAGACACAATTAAGGGATACAGTTTCCTCTCAGCTTCACAGGAAGCAGATGGGAGATGCTGAAAAGTGGGTATAAAACCAGTTCAGGTTTTGACACTGACAAAAGCAAGACCCGCTCGGAGACCATCAGCGGAATGGAGCGGAATGTCTTTGGGGACGTGCAGTGAGAGCGCATTCTGGAAAGGCATCAACAGCGTTGAGTGCTGGATCTGAGTTGGGCTTGTTTTTTTTTTTTACCACAGGCAACAATAGTGATTGTATTAGGGTAAAAGTGTTGGTGAGGTTCTGAATGGATAGGGTGTGATCTCAAACACTGGTGTGGTGCGTGCCAGCTTTTACAGGGCAGGGGTGAGCGATGACTGATTCCTGGAAATGTAGGCAAATAACAGACGTTGCCAACAATTCCAAGGACATATTTGATGTCTTCAAATGTCTAACTACTGTGAAAGTTAGCTAAAGAGGAGGTACAGTTTGAAGACATTCACACTTGACATTTCCACAGTTACCACACAATAATATTCTCAATAATACTATGCCAAAAAGGCACGGCTAGGTGGAACCAACATGTTTCAAAGTTATTTTTCTGTCATGAATGAAAGTGAACTACTGACAAAATCACAGATGATGTGAATATAAAAATATAGATACCATTAACTGATATAAAAATGAAATTAAGTTACAAAATAAAAATATATGTATTAATGTTAAAAATATGCTAAAAATAAAAATCATTTTAATTCAATAGATTTTAACTAGTGCTGTCAAACGATTAATCGCGATTAATCACATCCAAAATAAGTGTCTGTTTGCATAATATATTTGTGTGTGTGTTCTGTGTATATTTATTATGTATACATAAATACACACACATACAGTATATATTTTGAAAATATTTACATGTATTTAAATGTCTATATTTATATTGATATAATTTATATTATAAATAAATATATTTAATATACAAACATAACATATTTTTCTGATATATATACATGCATGTGTTTGTATTTATATATACATAATATTCAAAGTGCACATACATAATGTAAACAAGAACTTTCATTTTGGATGCGATTAATCACGATTAATCGTTTGACGGCACTAATTTGAACATAAAATTAAATATTTAAATGCTAGATTTTTAACATTAATATGCTAAAATAAAATATAAAGTATTCACAAAATGCAATATTTTAATGCTGATATGGTTAAATATAAAATAATACAATAAAATATAAAATAAACAAATAAATGCCCAAATATCTAAGATATTCTTGTCATTTAATAAGGTGCCAAGTCTTTTATTTTCCTGATTTATCGTCAGACAGAAGTAAAAACAGCACATTTCACCTCAAGCCGAACATTTTGCGCTATATTTCAAGTATGTAGCGCAAACATGCAAGTGAGGTTATCTGTCCAGAAATGTTAATTATATTGATGAAAACTTGAAAAAAAAAAATTCCTCATTCATTTTGTTGCACCTGGTTAGGGCTGAAATCTGAACCAAACTGTTGTTTTTTGGATCAAAATCCTTTAATTAAAAGCTACAGGGACTCACCTGCTGGTTGTTCCTGTCCGTTTTCCACATCGTGAATCCACTGAAGGATGTTCTTAGCCATTAGGGGGCGCTCTGGGGGGAAAAGGAACACCTCTTCTCCAGTTTTTAACCGTGACATCACCAAAACAGGAAGTGGAGGTACAAAGCCAAGATACTTTTCCAGGATAGACCTCCCGACAGGTGTCCGACCTCTAAAACAATGAAACCCCATAGATGACAATTAACAAAGGGTTTGCTTAAAGTGAATGCATTTTGATTAATGTGTCTAACAGATCATGTTCCTCACAGATGGATCCAACATGGCAGGAAGGAATCCAGCTGTCCAGAGCTCAGCAGTTGCTTTATCTCTGCTAAAGCCTTCATACTCTCTGTACTGTCCTCCTTTCCGATAAAAAGCAGCAGCAAAGGTTTCCCAAGCTCCAAATACCATGGAAGATTCTCCACGGTCAGTTCAGGCTTTAATGCAAAACACAACATATTTTCATCTTATTAGAGAGTTTTTTGCAAAGGAACAAAGGCGACTTTTATTGCAATAAGATGGAATTTTGAGAAGGAGTGTATTTTCCCACCAAGTGTGAAGGGGCATGTAGGGATGAATTATTTCACTTTCCTATTTTTTAAATGTAGTTGTTGTTTTTGTAAATTGAAATGTATTGCCATATCAGCTTCACAAGCTATTACATGGCAGATACAGATTCAACATTCAACAATATAATAAAATAAATATATAATTATAAGTACAAATATTTTATAAAATTCTTCATATAAAATTCAATTTTTCAGAAATTCAATTCAGAAAAAGTCTGTAAGAGATTCTTTAAATTGTAAAAGTTTTTCTGGGTCCGTTTAAAAAAATAAGTCCTTCATATCACATTTCATATAAATAAGTTATGAACAAGCTTATGTATGTACTATTATTAATATTATTTATTAGTATTCATTTTGAATTGGCTTTTATTTTTATAGTTTCAGTTTTCCTTTGAATTATAGTTTGTTTTAATAATTTTGTTATCAGCTTTTTTATTTGTAATATTTTTACAAATATTTTTTATGTAGCTTTAATTTATTTTTATTTCAGTTTTAGATAACTTTAGACATTCAACTGAAATTTATTTTATTTCAGTGTTTTTCAACAAATTTTTATATATGTAATTTGTTACAATTAATTAAAACAAATTTAATAGTTTGTTTTAGTGTACAACAACAACACTGTTAACTACGTCAATGTGGAGAGCCAGTCAATTCATGTTACTTAAATTCCAGTAAAACACATGTGATTCCAATATAAAGTACCATTGAGCAACTGAAACACGTGGTAAATTTGCAACTATTTTCTCAAAACAACTTACGAAACGATCCAGCTCCACTTGTTTTATAAGTGAGACAAGGTCCGTTGGTGAGGATGATGGGAGAGAATAGACCTCATAAGGAACTCCAGGGCTGCGGGACACCAGTAGAGCAGGCAGGTTTACTGACAGTCCCTCCACCCTAATCAAATACAGAGCAGTCAGCTGGAACGCTTTCTTACATCACACTGAAGTCCACACATGTATCATCTTGTTAAGACACTTACAATTTATTTGAATGCAAGGTATAATCTCAAGTATATTACATCATCAAAATAGTTGTGGTGAAACTGTCAGATACCATTGCTCTGCCTCTTTGTGGGCAAACAGCCCAAGAATTGTCTCTCCTCTGAGGAGTCTTGCAGCTTCTTCAAATGAAGTTACACCTAAGACATAAAGAGCACATGATTGACAAGTTCCTGTGCATATGTAACAAGTTATGCAATACATGCTGCACCCATAAAATACATTTTGATTGCCATGCTATAAAAAACAAATGTTATTATACAAGCGGTGTAACATTTGAAGAGGTCATGTAGTATATTTTTATTTTATTTGTTCCCTGCAAGTCAATAACAGAGGTAATTTGGTTTTTAAATGTCCATTTTCTGCATCCGTCTGACCATCAAAATTAAACCGGCTGCTGTGGTTTTAAAGGGATAGTTCACCCAAAAATTAAAATTCTGTCATTATTTACTCACCCTCACGTCATTTCAAACTTGTATGACTTATTTTCTTTAAAATACCTTCTTCCGTGTTCCACAGAAGGTGGAAATTCATGAATGTGTGGGATGACACAAGGGTGAGTAAATAATGACAGAACTTTTATTTTTGGATGAACTACCTTTTAATATTTTTATGTAAACCCTCACTGTTTCTAATGCTGGGATTTTTCAGAAGGTTATTAAGGGTGCAGCAGGTGCTACACAAAACCAAGATAAGCACCATTTACTCTTTTCATTAGTTCTTCTGGTGCTCAGGCTTGGAAATCACCATCCACTTTCATCCACTTCATGGAAAACAGAAGCTCAGACATTCTGCATAGCAGTTCTTGTGCATTTCACAGAAAAATAATTTATTTGTAGTGCCACAAGAGAATCAAAGGCTATTTTATAGCCAGATTAAAGTAGTTTTTAAATGATTTTCTTATAGTATTACAATAAAAACTACACTACTGCTCAAAGGTTTGGTCAGATTTTTAAATTTTTTTTTAAAAGTCTCATATTCTCACCAAGACTGCATTTATTTACAGTAAAAAAAAGGAAAAACAAAATACAGTAAAAACAGTAATATTACAAGATGCTATTACAATTTAAAATAATTGTTTTCTATTTGAATACATGTAATTTATTCCTTTGATAGTGTCACATGATCCTTCAGAAATCATTCTAATATGCTGATTTGGTGCTCAATTATTATTGATGCTGAGAACAGTTTTGCTGCTTAATATTTTTGTGGAAATGACGTATTTTAAATTCATAATTCTTTGGTGAATAGAAACGTCAAAAGTTCAATAAAACTATCTTAACAATGTGAAAGTCTTTACTGTCATTTGTTATTAATTTTATGGATCCTTGCTAAATAAATGAATCCAACCTTTCGATAGTAGTGAATATAAGGTCTTTCAATTTTCGATTTGATGAAAATTCTACATTTTTCCTGGTAAAACTTCAAAAAAAAAAAATCTAATAAAAGTGTTTTTCTAAAACAAAAAGTGCCTCACAGAAGAAGAATATGGGGTTGTAGCATGACAGTAAATCATTTTGAGTGAACTACTCCTTTTAGGTTTATACATGTATATATATACTCTATCTATCACATAGCAGTGACTCCTGGGAAAGTTGGCTTACCCATGTCATGTGTTGAACTGAAAAGGCCCAGCACCCTGACAGGGGTCAGATACATATGTTTACTGTACAAATCTCCCTCCAAGAACGACATCACCTCAGCAGAGGAGGAGAGAAGGTAAGGATTGGAGACCAGACTCCTGCAACAACAAAAGTAACTCATTAATAAACATTAGGTGTGAAATGTTCAACTGAGATAATCTTGATTAAAGACTATTGGCTTTCTGTGTGGGAATCTAGGCAGCACCTTTTACGATTTACGATCACTGCACTGTTGTCTTGGGAGCATCTATTAATTGATTTTTGATGGTGCTCTACAGATAAAACACTACAGTTGCCTTTATCAACTCACAGCCATATAAGAACATATAAAAGAAGGTCAGTGTGGAGGCACAAACTGCAAACGTGCTCTTCAATCACCAGGCCTCTCATTTAAAAAAGACAGCCCACTTTCAGGTTAATCCTGAGTGACGGAGACTAAATCCCACCCTGACGATCTGACCTTGTGTGGGTAAGAGGACACAATACTCACAGTAGTATGAACCTGTGTAGGCTCTTGGTTCCCAGCATTCCCTTATAGAGCTGAGCCGCAGCCATGGGCCGGTAGATCAGAACGGTGGGGAAGGAAGTGACATTGTGATCACTGCAAATGTCAGTCCATTCGCCACAGTTTACTGCCGCCAACTTTACCCCATTCATACCTGAACATGATAAAGAAAGAGACAGAGCAAAAAAGAAAGAGACAGAGGGATGTGGTTTTAACATACTGTATGCTGATATTACTTCCACAAGTCTTTGACTGAAGTTTGTGCACATTTTTAACATAACATGTGATGTCAGATGATAAAATGGACACAAAATTTGTGCATTTTTCTTTTAATTATGCAATCTTGAGGTGTGAAAAAATTTTTGCCATTAATTCAATGTAATTTATAATTCGATGTAAATTAAGTTAAAAATAAATAAACAAAATTCTGCAAAATAAAACAAAAAAGCCATACATATTGACATAAAGGTAAGTAAATAATGACCAAATTTTCATTTTTTATTTAACTTCATTAAATCTAATTATTTAAAAAAAAAAAAGCAATAAAGGATAGAGGAAATCGCTTAATATAGCAACTGAAAATCACAGACAAGTCTGTTAAAAATCATTACAAAAATGGCTCAGAAAAGGGATGTTAGTCCTAAGAAAAATCATTTGTTTGCAGATTCCACTTGGTTTTATATTTTATTATCTAATGCAATGACTTAAGTGTCCAAATACTTTTTGAGGCCAGTCTAAAAGCAAAACAATTTATTATGTAGAGATCGAGAATGACTGTTTCTTTAATATTATCTGAAAATGGATTCCATCAAATGAATCAATAAAGAAAAAAAATTCGACATAACTCCATTTACAGAATTTCTGGCAATTGTGTTCATCATTGAAATGCTTTTACCTTCAAGTGCATCCGCCACCTCTATATATGACTGAATGAAAGCCATACAGACAGCATCCCCTAGAGGACAAAAGTGGATATATCAGGGTAGATTCGTCTTACACATCAACTATAATAATAATACAAAAAAGTAAAACTCACATTTAAAATAGAACAGCACCACTGTGATATCATTCTGTGTGACTGTTATTTGAAAAGTGTCTGAAGTGAGCTCAATAACAGACTCCAAATCCAGCATAAGATCACGGTCTCTGTACACAGACTCGGACACCTCATCATCGAGAATATCTGGATAAATTCAACATCTTTAGAAGCAGTTCAAAACCACTGGAACCATTATACTAGTTAGCAATGACTGCATAGGTGGCATCCTACCAAGATCTGACCAATGTTCCTCATCTTCCTCTTCGTCTTCGAACTTGTGTTCTTGCAAAAGTTCTTCTTTGAAAAGTTTCACAACCCCTTCAGCGCTATTCAGGGTAAAATATTTCACATCCTGTTGAGAAAAGCTTTTGTTAAAAACAGATTTGTCAAATAATCACAATCACACAACACATTCAAAAGGTTAAACTGACCTCCTGTGGGAGTCTGTAAGCAGCGTTGTATTTCAGCGAAGTTTTCACGTTCGGACCGTCCCTGAAAAACGAAGAGGAAAAAAAAAAAAATCAAAATCAAGAGGGAGATACTTTGTTGACTGAAAATAAGATCTGTGGAAGTCAGTTTGGAGATGTGTATTGGATGTTGTATGGATATATCAAAACTGACCCAATTTACTAAAAATAGTAAAAATGTCCCTACTCGTATTGTGCATGAGTCATTATAGTGCATCCTTTGCCCAAAAACATTCCCTTTCATGATCTTCACCATAATATAAAAACTTCCTATACTTCTTATTTTTATTTCATGGGAAAATAATATCAAATTTCTCCCCTCCAAATCAATTCCAGATAGATAAAACTCAAGAAACCCACCCTAACTTACTTGGTAACGACAATTAACAAGTGTAGGTAATATGATAGTTAACATGTCTAACAATGATTAATACTTTTGTTTTTATTAATATTGGACAATGTTTAGTTTTTTTATACACTGAAACACTGTTAACATAGAAATGTGTAAATGTTAACATTTGTCAGTTGTAAACTAATTTGTCAATTTATTTATAAATTATTGTAGTTGAATTACTGAAATAAATGAACTTTTCCACGACATTCTAATTTATTGAGATGCACCTGTATATAAAACTTTTTGGACACATATTAATGCTTTTATTCAGCAAGGATGCATTAAACTGATCAAGCGTGAACGTAAAGATATTTAAACTTACAAAACATTTCTAATAAATGCTGTTATTTTTATCTTTATATGCAAGAAAAGAATCTTGAAAAAATGTATCACGTTTTCTACAAAAATATTAAGCAGCATAATAAAATGTTATTTAATATAATATTACGCAGCTTAATAAAATATTAAGCCATGTTTTCAACATCGATAATGATAAGAAATGTTTTTGGATCAACAAATATTAGATTGATTTCTGAAGGATCATGTGACACTGAAGACTGGAGTAATGATGCAGAAAATTCAGCTTTGCATCACAGAAATAAATTATGTTTTAAAATATACTAAAACAGAGAAAACTGTTAATTTTAATTGTAATAATATTTCACAATATTTCTGTTTTTACTCAATTTTTGAACAAATAACATCATAATCTTCACACCCTAAAAACCCACCTATTATTTGCAACCTAACCTGTCTTTGATATTTTTATTAATTATCAAGTGCTCATAATGTTGTAACAACTCTCGTTCTTTTTTGCTACCTTTTCAGACCGTAAAGAAAATTCAGCTTTGCATCACAGGAATAAATTATGTTTTAAAATATGTTCAAATAGACAATAAATATTTGAAATCATAATTTCTCACAATATTTCTTTTTTATTGTATTTTTGAAAAAAAAAAAAAAAAACATCTGACCAGTTAGTTTTATATACTTTAAGTATAGCATATCTCTTATACAGTATATATAAGGTTTTATATACTGTATTTGTATATAACATATATTACATAATAGGCCATTTATAAAAAGTGAAATATTATAAACATTAACACAGACAATAATAAAAAACTAAATGTGACCCTTGACCACAAAACCAGTCGCTGGGATATATTTGTAGCAATAGCCAAAAATACATTGTATGGGTCAAAATTATTGATTTTTCTTTTATGCCAAAAATCATTAGGATGTTAAGTCAAAATTAATGTTCCATGAATATATTTTGTAAATTTCCGACCATAAATATATTAAAACTTAATTGATGATTAGTAATATGCATGGCTAAGAACTTCATTTGGACAAATTTAAAGGCGATTTTCTCAATATTTTGATTTTTTTTTGCACCCTCAGATTCCAGATTTTCAAATAGTTGTATCTCGGCCAAATATTGTTCTATCCTAAAAAATGGAAAGCTTATTTATTCAGCTTTCAGGTGATTTATAAATCTCAATTTCGAAAAATTGACACTTAAGACTGGTTTTGTGGTCCAGGGTCACAAATAAATAATAAAAATAATATGAGTAATAAAAAATATTTTTTGGTTCACAACATCCAATGCTTTAGCTAATTGCTGATTGTAAAGTGTTGCCCATGGAATCTTGTTACATGAATATATGAAATGCAGTATTGTTTTTGTTGCCGTCATCAGTACCTGTGAATGACCACTACTCCGACCTCCCCGCGGAGCTGCAGGGCGAGAGTTTGAGCGGTGGCCCAGTCCAGCTGCTGGGTTTGTAGCTGAGAAAACAGATACAGCACGGGCACACCGAGGTGCATATGAACCACATCTACGTCAGACGGGTCCAGCACTGCCTCTGTCTGCCAGAAAACAAGTCCACAATCAAACATAACAGATATGGAACTGAAGTGAGAATCAGAATTCCAACTCCTTTTTATTGTATCTGGTATTAATGACAGGAAGTTGAAGATGCTTTCTCACCACTAGAGGGGCTTCCATCAGTTGCAGGAAGGTGTGTATGTTGATGGTGTTGAGTGGTTTCCTCATTGGAATGCTGGGACACGGATCAGACCGCCTGGACACACCTTTACAGTGCAGAAACCACAGCCATGCTTGAGAGGAAGAGGGATCGACGACCCTTTGAAGGATAACAGAAGATTCATTTGAGAGGCACTGAAGTACTAGAAGAATTTGTTATCATTTATATCAAATTTTTGAAATGTCTATTAATGCAATTAATGTTCATATATTGTGGTAGTTGGCAAGGTTTTTATAGTTAAATAAAACCATAAATTAAACCCGATTTTAAATTTGTAATCACATTTTTTGCTACTTGACATAAAATAAACAAACTGAAATAATATAAAGTTTTTGTTATATTTTATTTAATTTATTTCTGTTATATATTACTTTATTTCAAGTAAAAAAAATGTGGTTACAAATGTAAAATGTGATCACATTTTATGGTTTTAGTTAACTATAATAACCCTGTCAACGACCACAAAATATTCAACAAGGCAACATTTCTCATTTTAATAAACTAAAACTAATAAATAAAATTATTAAAAACTACACAGACCTATTTAAAAATAAAACCACGTTTTAAAAAAAAAATAAAAATGACAAATCATACGACAAAATTACTAATCTAAACTAAAATGTAAGTGAAAACATAAAATATTACAATAAAATATCAACAAAAACTATAATAGAATAGCAATGATACAAAAATAACACTGGTCGTTGGATATCCAAACAAGTGATGAGAAGTTTAGAACAACTTTGGAAACACCTTGTTGCCATATTTTTCATAATTATAGTTGTCTATGGCAACATAAAAAATGTCATGCATCACATCTCTGTTCATTTTATGATTTGAGTACCTTAATAAGGACTGAAATTATATTGCTCCTTAAGAGTAATATAAAACTTACCCCATATGTTTTAGAACCAAAGTGCCAGTCGTCTGGACAAACTGGTATTTGGTTCCATACACAAACGCTGCCTCCATCAAAGCTCGGTGCTCTATCTCGACAAAAAAACAACAAGAGATATATAATATTGCTTCATTCCAACCAAGACAATGGACTATAGAGAATATAGAGATCGTACCTGGAAGGCCAAGCACTGGTATGTGACCGACCACAATGTCACTGTTTTGTTTGGCCGCGCTCTCCACACGCAGCAGCTCAGCAGGTGTGTGCACATAACGGACTTCATTGAAGAGGACAGAGCTTTATGGAGGAAATAAGGCACACATTCAAAGGTCAACTGGTCAAGGCCATCACTGTAGTTCCACCAGCCGAAATATCCACATCGTTAAATGTTGGTGGTGCTACTGTAAAAGTTTTAAATAAAGGAACTCACAAAAGCACATGAGAAACAATTGCATTGACGTCAAATACGGTATCGATGTCGAAACTCCTCAGGACCTCAGAGCCTCTGGAATGATAAAAGATAAAAAAGCTTTTGGGCCGTTCCGAACCTGTATGACCATATGGAGTTAACGGATCATTTTTATATTTCGCAAAAAATATATATACTTGGCAAAAAATATACATAAACATTTGGCTAAACATCTCATGTTTCAACAATGAAAGATTTTGAATTGTTTTTAAAAGAGGTGTCTTAAGGCTGCATTTATTTGATCAAAAATAAAGTAAAAACAGTAATTTTGTGAAATATTTGTACATTATATAACAACAAAAATGTTTTATAACATTTTTTAACAACAACAAATAACTGTTTTATATTTAATATATTTAAAAATGTTACATCAAAGCGGAATTTTTTTTTAGCAGCCATTACACATTACTCTTCAGTGTCACACGATGCTTCAAAAATCATTCTAATATGCTGATTTGCTGCTCAAGAAACATTTCTTAATATTACCAATGTTGGAAACAGTTGTGCAACTTAATATTTTTGCAGAAACCATAAATTTTTCAGGATTCTTTGATAAACAGAACGTTCAAAAGTACACTTATTTGAAACAGAATCTTTTGTAACATTATAAATGACTTCACTGTAACTTTGAATCAATTTAATGAATATTCAAAAATCTTACTAACCCCAACATTTTGAATGTATATAATGATGTGAGGGTAAAGTTCATAAACGTTTACCTGAACAAATATGCCTTGGTCATTAGCTTTTCTCCTGTGCAGTAGTTTGCTATAGCATCTTCAGAACAGTTCACCTGTAAAAACAATCAGTCATCCAAGCTGATATTACTGCATTATAGTCAACCATCATGTACAAAATAACTAGACATCAGAAAGCTCCTTCTTCTGACATTCTGGTGAGACCTGAAATGAGATTTTGCTCACCTTCACAACAGATATTCCATAGTCCTGTAGGGCATCAGCTGACATCTCAAGCTGCTCCATGAACAGTTTGATGGTTGGATTGACTGCAAGTAGAACTATAGCTTATGTAATAGCCTATGAACTTTAATAATTAACTTTATACGTTTTTTGACACCTCAAATGCATTGATTCAGCAGATACGCTGATGTGCTGATCTGACAAATGACTCTTGCTTAGCTTTGCACATTGTGATAACGGTTCTGCAATCATCTGCAACACATTTATCAAAGTCTCACCATGATTTCCAAAGTATATAAAGGACGTCTTCCCTGTGTGCATCCTCTCCATGAAGCTCTGACTGGAATCTTCTATCAGTTTGGAGGAACATTGCTCTGATGTTAGGCTAAATAAAAACGCAATCAAATAGACGATGCACATGGTGCCTACTTAATGAACCTTTAACTTACATCCATTTACATTAGTTCATATTAAGGATGAGCCCAGTAAAAACTGGTACACAAAGAATATATCCATATTCAGTCAAAACAACTCGCCTGGGCTGTGCTACTAAATGCATCAGTCATACCCTAACAAATAAAATTTTTAAGGGCAACCTATTAAAAAAATATATATAGTCATTTTGACTATACAAAATCCAATAGGTTAATGTTTACCGGTCAGTGTTACAAATCTAAGTACTGAAAATTTACATCCTCGAACACTAAAACAACATGCGCAGACGTTGTCCATTTAAATTTGTGGGGAGGGTTTAACGGTGAGCTGAACACCAATCAGAAAGCTAAAAATACAAAGATGTCCAGTGCGAAAACCAATGAGAATTAAGTAGGCGGAGGGCTCATGGCTCAGCGGCGAAAGTCGTTTGAAAAGCCTGTCATTTTGGCTCCAATGTAACGGCCTGTTTCTATCCACCGCTATTTCAACTGAGAGACAATATGGCGACTAAAGCGCGTTGGTTTCCAGCTTCGTCCTATTGGCCAGTACGCGTGATCGCATTTGATAATCGCTTTTTTTTTTTTTACGAGTTGTTTTTCTTTGCTCGGAGGGAGCTGCCTTGCAGAGATTTGGGGATTTCTTCCCCTATACTTATTTGCTTTTCATTCCTTTCTTACAAAACATGCATTGCATGCATAAACCACAGCTTTGTACACCCGTCAATTTATAAACAAATTATCCAATTATTTTGCATACTGTTATGTTAGCTATTAAAATAAAATCTTACAAATGTAACCACTGCAAGCTCACAAAAACAACATGCGCAAACGTCCAAGCATTATTTCAAAAACAACAATGCCGATACTCTGAAAATTAAAAATGTAGAACTCCAGAGGCAGGACACCCAAAAGACAAATGATTGGTCTCTCAAAAAAGTAGGCGGCAGTGTAAATTGCTTTTCGGCGAACGTACTTGAAAAGCCTCTCATTTTGGCTCGAATGTAACAGAATTTTTCCATTCAGCACTATTCAACCGAGAGCCAACATGGCGACAGAACCGCGTCAGATTCTAGCCTTTTCTCATTGGTCAGTAGGCGGGGCCAGAGCAGCAACGCTAGCCAGCTGATCGCTTCTTTTCTAGCGCTAGAGTTGTTTTTTCTTAGCTCGGAGGGAGCTGCCTTGCAGAGATTGGGGACTCTGCTGTTTTTTTTAATTGTTTGTTTTCCACATCTTGCTTATAAACATCCGAGAATTGCTTTAAAGTTTATTCCATACGACAACAACTTAGGGCAGCCTGTAGTTTTTCATTTTCAGCTCATATGTCATTTGTAATTAAGTTTGACGTTATTCAATTGCTCCTAATTTCAAAACGTCTGCATGAAAAGTTTCATGGGAAGGAATACGGTAGAGCGTTGTGGATAAGTCGACGTGATAGCGAGCATCCCGTCGATATGTTGTTTTTACTAGAAAACCAGGTCAGTGTCAGTGTTTGGACGGACTCATCCTCCGCCGAACTGATCCAGGCTGCGGTTCCCCCGTCTGTGCAGCTCGGTCTCACGGTTCTCTACACGGTTTTGTATTCGCTGCTCTTCGTGTTTGTTTACCTGCAGCTCTGGTTGGTTCTGCACTACGGACACAAGCGCTTCAGCTACCAGAGTGTTTTTCTCTTTCTGTGTTTGCTCTGGTCGGCTTTGAGGACGACACTATTCTCTTTCTACTTTAAAAATGTTGTTCAAGCAAACCAGCTTCAGCCTTTGCCGTTCTGGCTCCTGTATTGTTTTCCAGTCTGCCTGCAGTTCTTCACCCTGTGTCTGCTCAACCTTTATTTTGCTCAGGTAAGTCCCACTTTGCTGTTTTCCCAATTTGTTTTTGTTTTGCAATGTATTACACACCCTCAAAATCTTTATGATGGTTGGTGGTCTAATTAACATACAAAATCAGTGTAATTTGTTATATAGAGAGAATATGAATCCTTTTGCATTTAGTTAGAGTTCCATTTCTATGCAACTCGCATCTAAGTGGGTCCCTCCCACCAAATGTGTTTACTTCGTGTGACTGACTTGGAGCTTCATGCTGTAATTGTGATTAAAAGCATCGGCATACTGTCATACAGGCAAATTACTTTGTTTAAGACATTTAGAGACATTCATCATTTTCATGATACTGGGACAAGAGCACAGCTGGAGGTCATCAGTTTCTGTTCAAATCCCTCTGCTTGGCCACAACAGTGCAGCTCACAGGACAGTCTGAATGAGGACTATTATTGCCACTTTTGGTCCATCCTTCCACCCTTTGTAAAGTCTTGGCCGTCTGTGAATGCAAAACCTCATCATGCAGGGGATGAAATATTGTTCATTTCATCTCCAAAGCTTTATGCACTGGAGAACAGAACATTACAGGCCCTTATTCTATTACTGGAAATGAAACAACTGCTTGGTTCACAAAAATTACATTATTGTTATCATTTACGCATGTTCATGTCAGTCCAAACAAAGCTGTTTGATTTTCTTTATTCTGTAGACCACAAAAAGGGATGTTTAGAAGTATATCCACGCTGCTCTTTTCCATACAGAGAAAGCGAATAGTGACCAAGGGCTGTTCTGTCATGCTCCAAAAAGCACCATTAAAGTAACATAGTAGTCAGTACAACTATTGCACTATATTCCAAGTTATTGGATGTCAGATGATGGTTTTGTGATAGAAACTGACAAAAATGGTAGAGCTACAGGCATCCTGTACTTCAAAAAGTAGAGTATATCAATAGCAAAGTCATGAGTTTGATTCCCAGTGCATTGTAAGTCACTTTAGATCATAACGTCTGCCAAACACATCGCATTATACTGAAGCTATACTGAAAATCTCCTTTGTGATTTGAATATGTACTTATATTCAAAGTCGGATGTAATATCTTGATGCACCATATCTGAATAGGTGCAAATGTGAATGAGATATTCAGAACTGCATACAATCTGTATTAAATACATTTATTTTGGTAGCTTGAAAACCCCTGGTCACCATTCATTTGCTTTTTATGAAAAACAGAAGTGTTATTCTGCTAAACTTCTCTTTTGTTCCTCATTAGCAAGAACTATTTCTTTAAAATATAGTAATTTAAATGTCTAATAAATGAGAGGGTAGTTTATATAAAGCCTTGTTTCACTTCTTTGGTTGAATGCCACCATAACTGTTATGGTGAAATATTTGGTTTTAATCTAAATTTAATCTTATTATTCATGTCCAAACTCAACAAATGTGTGCTTTGCCCTTTCTGTTCTGTCCGACATCACCCCGTCTCTGATATTACTCTAAACTTGCTTATATTGCATTCTATTTCGTCCGTAGTCAGCACATAGAGCCGTGGCACAATCAAACCTGACTGACAGGCCCTGCAGCTTTGTTTTATGCAACCACTGTTTATGCCTGTCTGCAGCCTTTCCCCTTACACCCACATTAAGTTGCAGAGGGTTGCTCGAGATAGCTGGTCTTTGTTTATGCGTATTCCTCGGGAGATATTTGAGATGTGGGCATCGTACCGTCACTGCCTGAACAGTGCGAGTTGGCATTTGAAGGTGCGAGCCAATCAGAGGCACCTGCTGTTTTTCAATATTTACTTACACTTATATATGTATTATAAAATATATATGCATTTTATTAAACGTAATATAAATATATAATATATAAGTATTAAATTATATATAAAATTACACACACACATATATAATTTTTATTTATTTTATATACTGAATACTGAAATATATAAAAATACTTTACACAGTACATAAATACATAAAGTAATATTATATAATAAGTTAAATAATTATAATTATATCTTTCATTTGTCAAATGTAAAAACATGCATGGTGGAACTCAAAATGTCTGCTGTTGTTTTTACAGCCAGAAAATCTGTCTCTTTAGGGAAATGAAATTGCAACACTGTAAATAATGCATTTTATACTTTGCAAGTGTTGAGTCATATTTTACAGTTTTCCTATCCGTTCTTCCTCTGTCTTCCAGTTCCCTGAGGTGGCACCAAAGTGATGACCAATTAATTTTTCAGATTACACTTTCAGCAACTCTTGTGTGTGAAGGAAACACATTAAAGGCGTGTATACTGTGAACGCCAACTGTTTACGTGAAGCAGAACTCCCCCATGAATCACACGTGTGATTTCTGCATGTAGGACTGTGTGTGTGTGTAATGCGTCACATGAGACCTCATCAGCAAAGCCCTGCAAAGAAAAAAGATGGGCCATTTTCCACTCTTGTATGTTTTCTGCTCTTAATGCAGTTGGTGGCACGTTGTCAGCAGTTTTTAGTGCTTGTCTGCGTGTTATTTTAAACATAATTTCACACGTATAAAAGAAGGTGCCAGGTTCAAAACATGCAAAAATGTACAAATATTTAATGGCATCTGTGGCATGCTGTCAGTTATGTAATACAATAATTTGACTTGTCCCTCAGTTTACAAAAATCCAATACCATTACCAAAAGTCCTGCATCTCATGCAAAAGTTGCATCTTATCGGCTCTACATGGTCATGACAGGAGTTGAAAAATTGTCTATCACTTGGCACAGATATGTGTCAAAATGTTTTAATGTTGTTGAAAAGTCTTTTATGCTCACCATGGCTGTTCAAAATAGACTAGAACAATAATATTTTGAAATATTATTACAATTTAAAATAACTGTTTTCTATTGGAATGTATTTTAAAATGTCATTTATTTCTGTGATGCAAAGCTGCATTTTCAGCAGCTGTTTCTCCAGTATTGAGTGTCACATAATCCTGCAGAAATCATTTTAATATACAGATTTGGTGCTCAATTTCTTATTGTCAGTGTTGAAAATTGTTGTGCTGCTTAATATTTTTGTGGAATAGTATAAACATATTAATAATAATCACTGACATTTGAACAGTAGTGTATCATGTTTAAGGACAAGTAGCTATGCTTCCATAACACCATGTATTTTAATGTTTATTTATAAACATTTTATTACATAATAGATATTCATTATAAGTGCATTAATGTACATGCAGTTTTGCTTGTTTTTTACAAACTAGATGACAAATCCAAACCGTGCTTTCAATAGAGCTTAACTTATTTTAAATGCAGAACATTCCATTAATAAGGGTATACAGATTTCAGTTACAAAAAAAATACAACAGAAAAGTAGTTATGTAGTAATACGGTTGCGTAAGTTCACTTATTTAATCAAATGTTTTCTATGATTTAATATATAGTTTTCAAAGAATGACATGTCCTTGATGTTGCTAATGGTCTCTTGACCATAAAAGTCGCTGTGCATGACATTTCTTCACATTTAGCACGTCAAACCACAGAGTCATGGCTTGTTTCTGCAATCGTATCAGCCGGGAGAGTCTTATTAATTCAGTTTACAGAGGAATCTTTATAATGGCCAGCCAAACAGAGGCATCACCCCCACGCAGCTCCATTACAGCTTATTGGAATGTTGTTTTCTTATTCCACACTCGCCCTCTTTGTCCTTGTAAACCATCCATAGATATGCAAGTTTGGTGTAGATCATTATGGCATTAGGTGGACGCATGTTCCTCACTGCTATTTACACTCCTCCAGTGCTTTTGTAAACTCATATTTGGGGCCAAATCACATGATCGGGATCAGTAACAGAAATGTGCTGCCTAATTTGTTTAACAAACTTAGGCATCTGTTTGATATGTTCATTGGCTGCCTGGTCTTGACTGGAATGAATCACATTTCGCCCTTTGACAGCTGACTTGGAGAAGTTTAGGCTGGAATTTGTTTTGGGCTAATGATTTTAGCAGTTGTGCTGTTGTGTCAGGAGAGGTTCGGGAAGGCTGTTGTTAATCTGTAACTAGGCCACAGTTTCTTTGGCAGGGATCTCTAGGTACTGTAGACCTGCTTGTCATGTAAATGGAAGAAGTGGGTAACGAGGACAGTCCACAAGAGCATTGAAGGAAAACAGCCATTTAATCGTCCTGCTTCCTAAATTAGCCGCTTGTTTGTTCCTGGTAAATACAGTTGTTGTGGGATGAATTTGACTCATATACTATGTCGCTATCTTAAAGGGGCCATGTTGTATTCTTTTTTGCAGTGTTTTTCCCTGATGCCCACTTGTTATTTTCGGTGCAAGACACCATGACTAGTTAACGTTTTTTACATGACCATTTACCACCCTCATTTTCCTTTAGGACTAAACAGACTATTTTTGCTACTGTACCTTTAAGACAATCTAAATTATGTATTATTATTATTGTTGGAATATGTAAGAATGTTTTTTTTAAAGAAGCCTCTTATGCTCACCAAGGCTACATTTATTTGATGAATAAATAATAATAAATATCTAAGCAAATAAATAACATTGTGAAGTTTTCTATTTTAATATATTTTTAAGATATATTTTTTTTAATTTAAAATGCCGTTTAATGTCACATGATCCTTCAGAAATCAGTTTTATATGCTGATTTGGTTCTCAAATCTTTTTTTTTGATTTGTGCTGCTTTATTTATTTTTGTGAACAATGTGATACTGTTTTTTCATGATTATTTGAATAGAAAGTTATAAAAACAGCCTTTATTTGAAATAATCTTTAATAAGTGTTTACTGTCACTTTTGATCAATTTAATTAATACTTTCTGAATAAAACATGGTCTACTAAATGAATAAAATATAAATATAAAATACATTTTAAAATATACTATTTTATTATATATTATATTCTTAATGTTTCTCTTTAGTCGCCTGTTCATATTTTTGTGGAGGTTTGTGTTTGCTGGCTCCAGACCTTATACAAGCATTTGTGTCATGGACATGAAAGTATGACTCATTTGGC